ACTTAAGGTTCGCCACGTATCGGTACTAATGATCTTCGCCCCCCTAGCTGTTGAGACCGGCACTAATGATCACATTAGTGCCGGTTTTGTTACAAACCGGGACTAATGTGCTTCACATTAGGCCCTTTTTCTACTAGTGAGCGATCGAATCCTGACCCATTTTCGTCGTCATACGACATTTCCTATGTTCATAGGTGAAACATTTAACACTTATGGATATATTAATTCAACTAATTAAACAAGTTCTATTAATTCAACTAGCTAGTTCAACTAATTAATTCAACTAAGAACTTACTAAAAATATACCTAAATAAAGAAGCTCTTCAACTAATTCAACTAAACTAGTTCTATTAATTTTCTTACTAAAAATAAAGTAGCTAGTTCTATATATACTAAAATATTAATTACATGATAAAATGTCATATACCTAAATTTAATATATATCTAATTCATATAACATTAACATAAATTCATCTATAACCAAAAGTATAAAAAACTAACTCATCTAACATTATCTAATTCATATATAATCTAACATTTGACATAAAACATTTGTGTGTGTGTTGTGTGTGTGCATGTGTGCATGTGTGATACATCTCCAACGTAGCTATAATTTTTGATTGCTCCATGCTACTTTATATATTGTTTTGGACTATAATGGGCTTTGTTTTCCACATTTATATTATTTTTGGGACTAACCTATTAACCGAAGGCCCAGCCCAGAATTGCTGTTTTTTTGCCTATTTCAGTGTTTCGAAGAAACAGAATATCAAACGGAGTCCAAACGGAATGATACCTTCGGAAACGTGATCTTCTCACGAAACGTGATCCGGGAGACTTGGACCCTACTCCAAGGAGTACCAGAGGCGGTCACGAGGGTGGGGGGCGCGCCCTCCCCCCCTGGGCGCGCCCCCTGCCTCGTGGGCCCCCTGACGCTCCACCGACGTACTCCTTCCTCCTATATATACCTACGTACCCCCAACAGATCGGGGACGGAGCCAAAAACCTAATTCCACCGCCGTAACTTCCTGTATCCACGAGATCCCATCTTGGGGCCTGTTCCGGAGCTTCGCCGGAGGGGCATCCACCATAGAGGGCTTCTACATCATCACCATAGCCCCTCTGATGAAGTGTGGGTAGTTTACTTGAGACCTTCGGGCCCATAGTTAGTAGCTAGATGGCTTCTTCTCTCTTTTTGGATCTCAATACGATGTTCTCCCCCTCTCTCGTGGAGATCTATTCGATGTAATCTTCTTTTTGCGGTGTGTTTGTTGAGACCGATGAATTGTCGGTTTATGATCCAGCTTATCTATGGAAAATATTTGATTCCTCTCTGAAATAAAAATAACTAAATTGTTTTGGCAAAAAAAGTTTATTATGGGTTAGTTTGTTTTGTGGACACGTACGTGTAGTGGTGCATGTTGTGGGCCCAAGTAGCTCTAGGTCCATGCAGTGCATCATGCTAGCTAGGGGTGCATAAGGTAGTAACCTCGTGAATAGGGGTGAAAGTCTTGTGTTAATTCTATTTTGTGGTGTGCGACATATGAATCTGCCCAGGGGGAATGCTTGGCTTGGGGGCCGGTGTAAGTGGTGTGGGTCTAGTGCATAAGTGGTGCACCATGTGAGTCTAGACGGCGGGGGTGCACGGTTTGGATCTAGCTACCTTGAGGTAACGCGGGCGGCTTGCGCACTGAGTGCGGGCCCGTTCCTCCGTTTTCATAGGTGCTTTCTCTCCGATCAACGAAGAACAATCCAAACGCGCATGCTAGGTACACGCCTTTCTTGGGTCCCGCATGCCATATTCGGGACATTTGCTGCATTTCTAGGGTAGTATCATCGAGAATTCAGAATTTATACCGCGGCCACATGAAATCATAGCAGGGAATGGGGTAACAATCACATGTTAAGCTCTTTGGTCCATATATATGGGCCATGTGCCACAAAAGAGAAGGGCTGCCTCGGAGCCATGGTCCATTGAGAGGAAACGAGTCTGGCCTACGAACGGTGTGCAGGGCCTGCCCCTTCATCTGCTTCAGAACTCTATGCCGCAAGATGTGGACCCTAGAAACCAAGGCCCATCCCGTGCGCCACACGCCAACTGGACCCACACCATGCATGCACGCGTGGCCAAGTAGACACCCACCAGTCAACCTTGACAATGCACACAAGATGCATGCGCACTCATTAGCCATCTAGCCCCCAGCCATGCACACCTAGCTAGCTTCACTCAAACCATGCACCGTTTCCCAGGTTCACCCACACCATCCATCCACTATTGACCCCACCTCGGTTTGTTGGACCTCTGACACGAGTCCCTTCCCTCGGCATGCCAGGTATATCAAAGCAACACGCGACTACACATATTGCACACCGAGATACGACGTCATTCACTAGTGCCAGCAAACATGTGCACCTGAGCATTTCTACCCATGGTGGACACTAGCGCATGGTTAGGATCGAGAAGCCTAGAGGCACATGATGTCGGCCCAATTGGCTGGGGGTGCATGACATGGGTCCAGATGAAACGCATGGCATCAAATGGATCCACATTCCCCTGCCCAATACCAGACAGCGGGCATATACCAGACGAATCCAAGCGGTCGCTGATGAAGCTTGGATGCCATGTGTTATGTGCATGCTGAATTTCAATATTTAGGAATTATTAACATACGAAAACAATAATTCAAGCGTCTATGTAAAGGTGTACAACATAATTTTCAATAAAAAAATGAAACATGACACGTGCACATGAAATTTGCCAACAAGTGCACTTGTAGTACAAAAAGAGAGCATGTGCACGTATCCCCCCATGCCTTCTACAATTTTGTGCCATGTTTTTTCGCCACATATATTTGGAATGAAAAACAAAAGAATGTGATTTTCCCATAATAAACCGTGATGGTGAGATGGTTGCAACCAACCAAGATAGATAGTGCAAGGAAGTTGTCCCCCGTGGGGAGATTGGATCGGCCACTCCTAGATTATAGGGTGAGGCCACCGTGAACGTGATCGTGAGAGGGTGAAGAAGGATTCGTTTTTTCAAGGGAAAGGAAGTAATTTTGTGGGTTTACAAAAAGGAATGCACCCCTTTTTGAGGGACAAAAAATGCACGTTATAATGTGTAATTAATGAAATTACAATTTATCAGAAACCTTGCTATTTTCAAGCAATTTAAAAACAACTTACTTGTTTTTGCAAAAAAAATGTTGATAATGCGATAGCCCATTTTGTGGACACTTACGTGTAGTGGTGCATGTTGTGGAAATCGGGGTCAAAGTCTTGTGCTAAGCTATTTTGTGGGGTGCGACGTATGAGTCTACACGGGGAATTGTTGGATTGGGGGCCGGCGTAAGTAGTGTGGGTCTAGTGCCGAAGTGGTGCACCACGTGGTTCTACACGGCGGGGGTGCATGGTATGGATCTAGGTACCTTGAGGTAACACGTCCGGTTTGCGCAATGAATGCGGGCCCGTTCCTCCATTTTCGTCGATGCTTTCTCTTGGGTCAACGGACAACAAGCCAAAAGGGCATGCAAGGTCTCGGCCTTTCTCGGACCCCGTGCGTGCCATATTCGAGACATTTGCCCCATTTCTAGAGTAGTATCCTCGGAAATTAATGATCTAGACCGCGGCCACATGAAATCACAACAGGGATTGGGGGTGACAGTTCCATGCTAAGCTCTGGTCCATATATGGGCCATGTGTGACCAATGCGAAGGGCCGCCTTAGATCCATTGTTAAGGGCAAAAAATGTCGGGTGTCGTCTACCGCTGCTATAATCCATGCAAATTCATGAGGGGTCGAAATTTCTTGGGACCTTTCGCAGTGTAGGTGTGGTCAAACATCGAGAGCGGCACGCATAAGCCTTCACATAGGTTGTGTGTAAACGAGACCAAAACGCATCCCGGAGCTAGCCATCGAGAGGGAACAAATCCTGCTTGTGGACGGAGACCGGGGCCCGCCCCTTCATCTGCTTCAGAACTCTGTGCTGCAAGTTGTGGGCCCTAGCCACCAAGGCATGTCCCGTGCACCACATGCAAACTAGACCCACACCATGCATGCATGCATGTCCATGTAGACAACCACTGTTCAACCTTGACAATGTACAGATGACACATGCGCACACATTAGCCATCTAGCCCCCTAGCCATGCACACCTAGCCACCTAAACTCAAACCATGCACCGTTAGCCAGGTTGACCCACACCATACATCCAGATTGACCCCACCGCGGTTCGTTGGACCTTCGACGAGATCCGACGACATTCAGTAGTGCTAGAAAACCTGTCCACATGAGCATCTCTGCGCATGGTGGACACTAGCTCGTTGTTTGGATCGAGAAGGCTAGTGGCCCATGTTTTGGCCCGGTTGGCTAGGGGTGCATGATAGGGGTCCAGACGAAACACATGGCATCGCGTGGATCAACATTCCCCTCCTCGGTACTGAACATCGGATATATGCAGACGAATCCGCGCGGTTGCTGATGAAGTTTTGTCACATCGATTTGCCATTCTATTGTTTGTAAAGTTTTACAACATATTTTAGGACAAATATAAAACATGACACATGCAGATGAAACAAGCCTACAAATGCAGTTGTCCCACTGTATGACATTGTTCTGTGTAATGAGGGTGCAGTTGCATTACACAATTGTTTGAAGGGAAGTTGCATTACTCCTAAATCATGGCTGTGCACGATCGGACTATTCATTTTAGTGAGCAGTTGCGTTTTGACGTGGCAGACGTGGTGGTGTGAACAACGCACGGGGAGGTGTGAACGTGGAAACAAATGTGTTTCACTGCCAAGGACTAAGTTGGCGGCTCCGCTTCCGCATGGCACGCTCAGCTTCCCCATAGCATTAATCTCATCGCCGCCCCCCTCTTCCCGTCCTCTTCTCCATCCACAAATCCACAAATAGGAGGGTTTTCTCCTCCCACGCCTCACCACCCGCCGCTGCTCCCTTCCCACTGCTGCACCTCCGTCGTCGAGATACCCAAGCGCACCATGGGAGTGAGGGCCGACGCTAGGGCCGATGCCATGGCGCACGAAGCATCCAAGCCCCATGCGAAGCTGCACATGGAGAAACCCGTCCCCGCTGGTGAGGGGTCCAGCCGGCAGCATGGCGGCCTTGACATCGTCGACCACGTCCAGGCTCCGGTGCAGGTGGCACCTACGCCGGAGCAGGTGGCTCCTCCACCGGAGCAAGTGACTCCTCTGCCACGCCATCTGCCTCCTCTGCCGTAGCCCGTGGTCAATGTCGATGGTGATGACAATGAAGAAGAGGCCAGTCCTATTTTTGGAAATATCCTAGGTTTCATTGTTCAGTCCTTTATCTATTTTTGGGCATGGCTAGGGTTTTTGCTTTTCTTCCATCTATGAAATCTGTACCTAGATTCATTAGATCCGTTAGGTTTCAGGACAGATCCACATGGGTGCATGGGTGTGGGGGTCGTCTCTTGATTGTATAGGTTATCTTGTTTTTAAGATCTACCAACTACACTGATCCCATGGCTCTCGTGCATCCAAAATGTGTTGATGCCAAATTTTAAGATAGATCTACACACCACCCAAAATGTTTTGCCCAAAATTTCTTATATATGATTCTTCTAAATGGACTAAAAGTGGTGTAGTTTGTGCACTAAACTTCATGTCAATTTGTATAAAACTAGCCTCTCATGCTAAATTCAGCAGACACATTTTTTGTCCGTTCAATTTGCTCAACACCAATTGCTTGATTCTGGGAGTTCAATTACCATAGGATGTAATATTTTAGACTTGTTATCATCCCTACTTGAAATATATTATTTGGCTGCTTATTTTTAGCATAATATTTTCTGCAAGTAAAGGATAACAACACCATGCCTTGTTTACGAAAATGTCATACTAAATAATCTTCATTTTGTGTCATTCATGTATGTACTGTCAGTATGATAGAAAAATAATATTTTCACATGAACATTTTAGATATTACTCCTAACTCTTTCATTTCTTGAATAACAGAAGCAGAGGCAGAAGAATGCCTTCTAGAGTCAAAAGCCAACTTGATCTCAGCCGTTTGAAAAATATTGTTGTGGTTTTAGTTTGCAATATAAATTTTTTAACACCCAACTTTGAAATCCTGGATCCAAAGCGGTGTTGCTAGGTTGCATTAGTTTAGGCATATATATGACATTTTTCTATCTATATAAAATATTCTTCTATTTATGTGGAACCAGGTAACTGCTCTGGCTCCTCAGACGGAGTAGGTGTCTCCTCTACCGCGGGTGACGCCTCCTGTGCCCGAGCCTATGGTCGTTGGCAACGTCAACAAAGAAGACGTTAGTCATCTATCTCCTTTAATTTTTTGTAAAATACTAGGTGTGCTTTGGTCAGTCCTTTTCTCTATTTTTGGGGAAGGCCAGGGTTTCTTTTTATCTTTGATCGATGGACTCCATATCAATATTATGTAGATGTGTTAGGTAACTAGCTAGGTTACATGTGTTGAGCCCTGTATAGGAAATATTTTGATCTAGATAAATTATTCTGCTAATAAATCCACCTAGGTTTGGTGATTGTGCTAATACAAATACATAGTTGGACCTTGGAATTGAATTGCCTACGTAGGTGATTGTGAAAATATTTTCTGCAATTTAAGGATAACAACACCATGCCTTGTTTATGAAAATGTCATATTGTATATATGGTCATGAAGTAAATAATCTTCATTTTCTGTCATTCATGTCAGTACTGTCATTACGATGGACAAAGAATCTTTTCACATGAAAGTTTTAGATATTACTCCCTCCATTTGAAAAATATTGGTGTGGTTTTAGTTTGCAATATAAATTTTTGAACACCCAAGTATGAAATCCTGGATTCGCAGCGGTGTAGCTAGATTACATTTATTGAGGCATGTATATGTCAGTTTTTGACCTATATAAATTATTCTGCTAATAATCCGGAACAGGTAGCTCCTCTGGCTTCTCCGCCGGAGCAGGTGGTGGCTCCTCAACCTCAGCCGGGTGTTCGTCTGCCGCGGGTGTTACCTCGTCTGCCCCCACCTGTGGTCGTCACTGATGAGAACGAAGAAGAAGAGATTAGTCATCTATCCCCTTTATTTGTTTATTTATTTATTTTGTAATATCCTAGGTTTTCTCTGGTCAGTACAAGGCAAATAAGGTATTAAAATGTTGAGTACATGTTTGCTTGCACTTGATAGATCTTTGGTTTAAATGTTCCATAAGTGGTTGTGGCAATGATTTTAAACATTGATTATCTCTAAGCAATGGCTATTTTAGAAAGAAATTAGATATCATCAATGTTTTACTTGAGTTGTTTTAATTAGTTCTTTTATAGGGTTTTTATCATTTATGCCATCAGTTGTATCCCACTACTCAGTTTTCCATTAGAAGTTACAGCCGCTCAAAAATGCCATCGATTCGTGAGATGCTTACTCAAAAATGTCATTAGATGTATCAAAAATGCCTTCGTTCCGTTAGATGTTTGCTCAATAATGCCATTAGACATTGTTATTTTCATGTAAAACTTGTTGACCATCCAATATGACAAAAAAAGCCTAGACCCACATTTCAATTCTCTCTATCTCACAATGATAAGTGTGGCCTCACTTGTGAGGAGTAAGTAAGCGAATAATTTTATAGGAAAATAAGAACGTTGTTGGAATCAAGTGGGCCCACACTTTATTGTAGTGAGATAGAGGGAGAGCCGGCATGTTGGTCCATAGGTATTGATTCCATTATAACATGTCAAAAGAGATTTGAGATCACAAAAATGATGTGCAGTAGCATTTTTTAGCATGTGTCTAACGAAGCGATGGCTTTTTTAGCAGTAGAAATTCCTAGTGGCGATACTTAGTTGTGGGACACAACTGGTGGCATAAATGATAAAATCCCTTTTTTGTAGTAAGTACAACATTTGGGATACTTATTGTCAGAATTGATAATAACTACTTTACATAAAACATTGAATGATTCAGGAACATTGATGGGTGGGGTGTCGATCAACAGGGGAAACTTCCACGACGATAACATGTGGAATTTCAATATCCATCATCATAAGCAGACAAAATTCTAACCCTAAATAGATACAGCTCACTAGCTATTTTATCTAGTCATGCATGTAAGTTATAAGTCTTTTTTGTATTAGTACATCTGTATGCTGCTCTGCCATGTTACATCATCAGTTCATGCATTTTTACGTAATAAGTGAATTTTGTTGCACTAAAGGGTTGTTTGGTTTGTGACTAACTTTGCCAAAGATTGGCATACCTAAGGTTAGGCAAGTTTGACCAACTTAAGTGGGTGTCTGGTTCCAGCCACACCTTAGGCAAGCCACACTTGGGTCCCACATGGCATACACACAAAAAGTGTGGCAACATTCCCTTAGGCTTGCCAACTTGTGGCTCTCATTTTGATGAACTAACCTTAGGCAAGCTTGGGAAAAATGTGTGGCAAAATGTGGCAATGCTAGTGCTCTCTTCGACATGTATGGTTGATCCTTCATTTTTTTACTATATGGTATTATCCCATTTAGTTGCTTATGTAGCAACTAATAAGTTACACATTTATTTTTTCAACATCATTTGAAGATATTTTACGCTATCATCAATTACATTATGTTTCATAGACTCTGTGCCTGCTGAATTCTCATATTAAATATACTTATGCAACATTTTGTACTACATGTAGGTCCTAAGTGACGACGTCGACAGCGACCCAGAAACCCAGAGGATCTACAAGAGGCAGAAGGTGAGGGAGCTGGACAGTGGTGAGCTCAACAAAAGTGTGAGGACTAGATTCGGAAGGGGGGCCTACAGACGCACTTACTGCAACAAGGTGATGAAAGGCAGCCTGACGAGTACCATTCAATATGCACTCGGAACATCCCAAGGCAGCATCAAAGATGGCTACGCTTTCAAGGTGAAGCACGCCGCATACGCCGACTACTTGATGAGGCTTCTTTGGTGAGGCTTTAGGGAAGTGCGCACCCTCGCAGCTAGAACTGATGCTCTTTTGGTTTTAACTATGCTAAGTACTACCCTGTGCTATACTTTGTTGGTGAACGTTTATGGTTGAACTATGTGCACCACTACTGCTAAGTGGTGCTTGCTTTTGTATATGTGGAAGTGTTGAACTAAGGTAGACCTATGTTAATTGGTGTGTGGTTTGGCATCTATGCTTGTTAAACTCGTGCTCATTAATCATTGGCTCGTTGAGATTAAGTAGCATAAAACCCTGATTGGCTAGGTTCGTTTGAAGCTAGTTAATCTTGTGAGCGCTCTTTAACAGATTCTGATGTGTTACGGTACACATGATGAGTGTGTACATGTGGTTTTCAAGAAGGAAGATGGTGACTCAAAAAGGAAATGCACTAGTTTGCTGCCTAAGGTGTTGATCCAAGTAATACTAGAACCATCGTGTTGGTTGTGGCGTGGCTACATGATGATCACAAAGTCTTGATCCAAGTAATACTAGATCACTTGATGACAATTTGATCTGATGTTTCACAAGTCTTGAGCACTAGGGTTTATGTACACAATTTTCAATCCCCAACCCATGAGAAAAACTATTTACATTGGCAAGCTCCCAACAAACAAAAGAAGAACAAGGAAATATTTTTGGGTTTTCTTTTTAATACTACTAAGCATGCAAAGAAAGTAAATTACTACAACTAATTTTTTTGGTTTTTCTAAAGTTTTTCAAACACATAAGAAGAAAGCAAGAAAATAAATCTAAGCATGGATGATACAATGAAAAAGTGTGAACACCGACAAATAGAATGATATGCATGAGCATGAATATAATGTCGGTGAGAAACACGTACACCCCAAAGCTTAGGCTTTTGGCCTAAGTTGGTAATCGATCAGTAGCCTGGAGGGTAGTAGTCTGCATGGTAGCTCACAGAGGCTCTCGGTGCGGATGCCTCGGCACGCCGTGCTACCACCACTGCTACGTTATGAGCTTGGGCCTCGCTCTCAAGAACAAAATATCTCCCCAATAACACCCTTGGAGTTCTTCTTAGAGCTAAACTTCCTGAAGATATTCATGTCCGCGTACAATTCTTCTTATTAACAAAAATCTGAATTTTTAATTCACAAAATTTTGCCAACAAAACTTCACAAAATTGATAGCAACTACTCATAGGGATACATAGAGGCCACAACAAGCATTCAAACTACTTAGAACACTAAGAATTCAAAATGCAAGCTCATCTACAGTGGCACCAAGAGTAGCTAATTATTCAAA